AGACTCGCCCCAGCCGCCGACCCCGCGAAATGGGTCCAAGCAGCCATGCCGACCCCGCGTTCGTGGGGTTGCGGGGGGCGTGCATCCTCCACAACCAACCCCCAGGGAACGACCGCAGAGCAAACCCTCGGGGGAGCCGGGCCCGTGGGCACCGCTCCCCGCCCCCGGGAGGGGGTTTCCCTTGGGTTCGGGCATCGACCTGAGGACTCGCGCTGTGGCTCAGGGTGACGGGCAGACTGGCCTGGGTCGGGGACCCATCCCCGGCATTTCCTGGCTGTGTGTTTTCAGGCCTGTTCCCTAGACCCACTGTTTCATCGGTAACATGGAACCAGCAGTCCCCGTCTTGTTGGTAGTTGGTGACAATAAAATGAAATGTGGGTAATGAATTAGCCTGTCCCCCAGACGGTGTTCAGCAAACACCTCTCTAGCATCTTCTGTCCGGCGGCGGCGGGCAGGGGGACAGGACAGCCCGCCCTGAGGATGTCTGGTGGAGCCCGGGAGAGCAATCGCTTATTATACAGCGGTTCTCAACCTGTGGGTCGCGACCCCTTTGGCGGTCGCATGACCCTTTCACAGGGGCCGCCTGAGACCATCCTGCATATCAGATATTTACATGACGATCCATAACAGTAGCAACATGACAGTTATGAAGTAGCAACGAAAATAATTTTATGGTTGGGTCACCACATGAGGAACTGTATTTAAAGGGCCAGAAGGTTGAGAACCAGTAAAAGAATCAGCCATGGGGGCTGCATACCCGGGAGCTCGTGGCAGCCTTTGTCAGGGCTCCCCCACCGAATGTTGACAGCTCCCTGAGCCTGAGCGGGAAGGAAATAATACACAGAGGCAGGGGTTTCTGCCTGTTCCTGAAGGAAAGAGTGAGAGACCCAGTTGAGGTCATTGAGAAAATAAACTACAGTGTTTCCTTCCACACCAGGTCTCTTATTCCTCGGGCTCCAGGGAATTTCCCCTAAAATGCAAAATAGGAGCCAAAAATAAATAAATAAATAAGTCATGTTTGTTGCACAGAGCGTTGGAGGGAAAGTACTCCAGTAGCCATAGACGTTATCTGCCTTTTTTCTAACAGTGAACATGGCTTTGTTTGCACTGCGTGATGTATATTGATGTCAGGAACAAGCTCGTGTGCACGGCCAAGGCATGTGCTGGTAAATACTAGGGCAGAATTTATTAAGAATTGAGCTAGGTCCTGGGACTATAATAATGAATTAGATGGTCCCTGCGTCCAGGCAGCACACAATCTAGCCACATTAACAGGTATATGATATGATACACAGTATCAGAGATCTAGGTAAATTGGGTAGGAATACAGATGAGGAAGCAATTCTGACCAGGTCATTTATCAAGAAAGCTCCACTAAGGGGATAATTTTGCAACAGGCTGTGAAGGGTTAATAAGAGGTGTGTTTTTTTTCTGATAGATTCTTTCAAAAAATTTATTCCCAACAGTTACAAAGCTGTTTACCACTAAGAGGGAATATAAAGCTCATTCTCATGCCAATTACCTCTTGCACTGCCTCCAGGAATAAAATGCTGCTCCATTTTAATAGACGTTGCTAGGCTAACAGGGAGGGAGAGCTGCTGCTGATGTGGGAGCTGTCAGTATCTGCAGGCCTCCTTAGCGTGGGCCCAGATAATGTATCACATTCTATTGTCATTATATTTTTATCGGTCTGATTAAATGTGTACATGGCATCAGTACAACGTTTTCCATCCAAGAGGTGGCTCAGTAGCATAAGAAAATTTTTTGTTTTAGTCGTTTTAATTCTGATCAACACAGTGACCTAAAGAACTAGTTAAATATGCAAAAGGCTTGGTTACTAGACGATAATGTAATTTTACTAAGAAATACCAATTAAACTACCCTATTCTTTAGGAAAACATTCTCTCATGCTTGCTGAGTTTTGATTCTCTTTTTTTTTCTTTTTTTTCCTTTTTTTATTTTAGTGTCTCAGATTCATTCTTAAGGAACTGAGAACTTAATCTTCCAAAATGTCAAGTAAGTTTCATTTTTTTATATTTATCAATCTATATAAATAAGAGACTAATGCCCTAGCAAATGGGAATTCCAAAATACTCTCATTTTTTTTTTCTTCAAACAGGACCATTGGTAGTTTTGTTGCATAGTATTATATCTCAGTTGTTTACAAGAAGTTATTTATTTTCTTTCAAACAGAAAGACCATCTTATGCCCCACCTCCCACCCCAGCTCCTGCAACAGTAAGTTTTAATTTTCTTGTTAATGTAATAGCCAAGTCTGGCCTTGATACAAAAACCCAGATGTCTTCCAGGAAGGGTCACTCAATCATCACAGCAATAGGATGAAAAATTCAGCTAAAAAAAAAACCAGCACTTCCTACTAAATAAAATAACTCTTTGCATCTTACTTTGAACCAACCCCAACATTTAAAGAAACATACTGCTGAAAAGCCAACCTCCTATGCTTGGTTCTTTTTTCCTTTTTTTTTTTTTTTTTTTAATGGGAAATAACTGACCAGTTTAACACTTCTTTCTTGTTAATCTCTTATTAAAAGTCTTTAAAGTTGATATTGAGTGAATGCTCATTCTGGCATTTCTTATTTTCAAACCTAACCTTAAATTGGTTACATTTTTTCCTCTCGTCTATATATAATTTTCATATTAAATCAAACAATAAAGCTTCCAGTTCTATAATAACACTCATTGTAAATCATTATTTTCAAGCTGTTCAAGTAAGGATTTTATTATCTGTGGGTCAGATCCTGCTATTGAATTTTATTCCACTCCATATATCATTGGTTTGGAATTTGATGTGTTTCAAAGCGTCTAAATAATAGTTGAGAACTGGTTTTTTCACCCAGCAAGTTCTGATCCAGCTTGGTCAGCATGTCAAATAATTGTCCAATCCATATAACAAATTTAACAAGTAACTCTTCAGACCTTGCTGAAATAGATTCCTGGTTGTTTTTTATTTAAAAAACAAAACAAAACACTATTAACCTTGACCATATCCTACAAAAGCAATTCTTTAACAGCTGTTAGCCCTCCTTTCAAACCCCCTACCCCCTAAATTGCAAGCTAATTTACTAATTAGGTCCTCTTTGTATAATTTTGTTTTCTCCACTAGATAACTATTCTTAATTACTAATCCCTTAGATAAATGTTTTAGTTACGTTTATCAGCAATTTGGTTTTCTTCAGTAAGATGTTTTTAAAAAGAGATGCTATACCACATGTAATCAGTTCAATTTTTATAACATATAGTCTCAAGTTGCTTCCAGTAGATCTTAAAGTCCTGTGTTTGCTTTATTTTCTTTCTTAAATCAAAGAACATATCTTATGACCATCTCCTTGGCACTCTGCTAGTGGCTATACAGGTGGAGTTGAACATTTGAGATTCCTGACCTCAAAGAACTAACCATGTACTTCATTTTTGGAATTGGTATAATTGTCATGTTTTAGGTTCAATTTTTTTTTTATCTCCCCTACTTAATTTTCTTACATTATTGCCTCAATTTTGAAGTGTCTCATTTTTTATGCAACTTTTGAAGGTGTCATTTTTATATAAATACTGCCTCTGACAGTGTATAGTAAATGGAACACACACTTGATTTTTTGAGATAATAAAAATAGTCCAAAACCAAGTGTTCACTTATGACTTCTCAAATATAGAAAGGGATTTTTTATTTTTGCCTTTCTTTAGTCATATTTCTGTACCATTATAGCTTCACATTGACACATAAATACAGAAGACTAGGGATTAGGACATCCAACAGAAAGGATATTAAACGAGTTATCCTCCTTCCTTTTTTTTCCCATTATTTCAACCACCACCATCACAATCATCATCACCACCTCCACCACCCAGATGTACCACTCTAAGTAATATACACTTCTTTTGTGCCTTTGATACTTCATCTGTTTTGCCTACTTTAATAAGCTTAATTTTCGTCTTCTATAACTACATAGATTAGAAATTGATCAGTTCTCTTTTAAAGAGTATCAAATGCTTGAATATCTTTCAGAGACTAAGGATATGTGCAGCGGCATGTTTTAGAAAATTGTGTTTATTTTATAACAGTTACAGTTTAGTTGGAATGTGTTAAGTGTATTTTACATCATACAATTCAAGACTGTTAATTGCATGTTAAAATGAAATTACTGTCACTTGTTTTTATTGAATTTCATTAGGGAAAATACTCTACTTTTGGTCTCTTTGCTATATTCTTTTTATGTATTATATCTTGATCTCATTAACATTGGATGTCATTATATTAACCACAAGGGGACTGCTATATAAGAGCCCATTTGTAATCTCATCAACACATAATTCACAAAAGCCAAGAATTCTGTTGCTGTAGCGAGTAATTGTGTTTTTGAAAGGACTAGCGCTATCAGGAAACTATATTTATTTTTAAAAAGAGAGAGTTCAAGTCTGTCAACTAGAAAATTAGTTCACATTAACTAAATGCAGAAATTATCCATGATTGACGTACAGAAGATGGATCAAAGAAGAGATGGAAAAGAAAGCCTATAAAACAATGGCTGGGTTAAAAAGATCAGACAATACCCCAGAATGAAATCCATGCATTTCTTACAAGTCTTTGTTTTGAAATCATGTATGTGACATCCATTGAATCTCACATATGTTCTTTTCTATTGACAACTTCTGACTTCCTGATTTGAGTCTCTTCTCATTTCTCACATATATAAAATGATTTAAAACTGTCTTTGAAAGCAGTCCATTTCTTGTTTTTGTTTTTAGTATACAAATACATTGGCAGCATCCACATAACTGTCAAATAAATCATGTTTTGTTTTGCATGTAAAGTGTTCTCACACTTGTAGTGTACCACATTTCAAGCTTTCCTCTCAGACATATATTGCTAAGTTGTTATATCATACTATTGACCATAAAGTAATCCTGAATGTTTGAGACACTTCACTGTATTGCTTATCCCAAAAATGCAAGCACACATTCAAATTCACACAAACACCGCTGGCCCCTGCAAAGAGAGAGAAAGAGAAAAAAACACACACTTGCAGACTGGTTTCTCAATGAAAGAAAAAACAACTACAACACATCATTGCTTGTTTAAATCCAGGTTGCTTTTGCATGTCATATGCAGATCATTTTTCATTTCTGTGTTTTCCTCGTTTGAGCTCATTTCTCATTCGTGTTTTTGTCTCATTTGTTTCCATCAGCAAATGCCCAGCACACCAGGGTTTGTGGGATACAATCCATACAGTCATCTCGCCTACAACAACTACAGGCTGGGAGGGAACCCGGGCACCAACAGCCGGGTCACGGTAGGAGAATCAACTATTACAGCATCCGGCAAACAACTGGAATTGACCAGAAATGCCTTCAGAGTTAGGTCCTTGTGAATCATCAGCACAGCCATTAAATTTTTTTAACCTGGCTTTTCGACTATTTTGAACATTTGTTGTGTGATCTTACACTGAAAAAATATATATATAGTGAGATCTGGATATGTAGAAGAAAAAACTTCATTCTTTTTGGTGGTTGGTAGAGATAAAACCTTGGGCACTAACTGCTTGTACTATGTGTAGACAAACCTAGAAGTTCTTATGGTTAAGATACTCAAGTTGAGCTGAAGCGTTATTTTTCATTTAAGGTAACTGGCATTAGGCTCAAGAACTCAAGTTTCTTAGTAAATGCTGGGCTTACAGACCTGGCTTTTTTTGGCTGGCCTACTAGTTTGAATTGCTACACATAATTATTTGTCTTTTGGATTTAATAGTTGACCTTAGGAGATTCATTTGTCTTCATTTAAAAAGAGAAAAAGACTTTTGTGTCACATCAAAGAATTGCAGAATAAAAGTTGAATGAAATTAAGTTGAAGTACCTACAGACTAGATATCTACAACTAGAAGTGTGCTTATAATCCTTAGGATAAGGGATATGATTTCTGAAACTGAAGGTGTTTCATTTAACTGATCAATCCAAGAAAAAATAAATATAAAAGTCAAGTAAATTATAAATCTAAAATAATCAAAATTGGGTGACTTTTTATTTTAGAGTCATCTTAAACTCCATTCAAGGAAGTTTAGGTACCAAAGGAAAAAAAATAGCTGTAAAAAGGATTTATCAAAAATAAATTGAATCCAAAAGCCAAATATCTGCATACATTGGATTATGGTATTGGTGAGAATTTATACCACCCAGAATGGCTGTAAACTTCTCTACCTGGTTTTTGTTTGCTGTATTCATAAATAATTCAATTCTGTGAATTCAAAAAGCCCTCTCACCCTGTAGTCAAGCTAGAGCAAAAAGCTTGTTACTATCAGACTATCTTGGTAAGCATATTGCTTAGCTTGATGGGTTTTGTTTGTCTAAAATTTTCATTGTTTCTGCATAAGCATTGTTACTTCATAAGCATATCAAGTTTTATGTGCCATGCATATTTCATGGTATCTGAAAAGAATTCTGACAAAGTGTGTGTGTGTGTGTGTGTGTATGCATTTCACAATGCATACAAATTTTATGTGCATCAATACGTGTTTTTTTCTGGCCTAAATGTGTTGTTTCATCAGTGTAATGGGTGGCAAGGTTATCAAATGATAAAAGAACATTTTAAATTAAACAAGGAACAGAATCAATTTTGGACCATTCATGTTAATGCAGAAAATTACTCATGAGCAAGTAAACAAGAATGATTGCATTTTAATTGCTCTATACAGTCAGCTCTTGATTATCTATGTTAATGGAATAGAAATAGAAATGGTGGTAACTGTAATATTAGAATCATTTGTATTTTGGTTTGTGTAAGCATTTTGTTCTTAACTGGGACCTATCTGTGAGAATTCTCTTAATAAAATGAGATCCTTTAATGGAGACTTACTAGGAAAAGGCAAGGGTGCTCTCTGTCTTGGAACCTGGATAAGTTACCTATTTCTCCCCACTCCTCCTTGGGTGTGTTGGGACCACAACATTAAAGTGGGCATTAGCTTCAGGGTAGATTTGGATAAAAGGGTTCTTGGGCGTGGAAAATTTGGTGTTTGGATTCTTTGTAGTTGTTTTCTTTGTATTATTGTTCTCTCAATATCAAATTAAATTATAATTAAACTGCTGTTCAGACTCAACCTAACGGCCTAGAAAATATGAAGGCTTTTAGCCTGTGTTCATTCCAGCCCCTTCAACTTTTAGTGACCTCTGTCTTAGGTCATTGAATCCTCCTCAAGAAAATTAGTTATGCCTAAAGTTTTACACCACCTTTTTTACATATCTAATTTAAGCCATGTTAGGGCTCAGTAAATCTGATTTTGTCCATTATTAAAGTGTTTTATTTTTAAGTTGACCCAACTATGTATTACTTTGGCCGAATTTGGGGGGTGTCTTATTTGGCTTTATTGCCTGCAAATCGCCTTAAGTCAGTGATTTGAAGGAATGATCCTGTGAATCCCTATTGAGTAGCTCCCTGTAGGCTCCTGTACACTTGAATAGTTTTCAGACACTAACTATATAGCATGTTGAAACCTTTTGGAGTGCTTGTGATAGCTATGAGATGGAAATCACTCCTAGTCAGGTCTTCATTCGGGTGATGATTAATTTCTCTTAAGTACAGTGTGGAAAACAGATTGCGATAAAATGTTAAAAACAACTTATTTCTGTACTTCAGTGGAAATTCTGTCCCAGGAGAAAACCCTTAAATAAGATTCTACCAGAGAAACAGCCGAGAATTGGAAAGAAACAACAACAAATTCTTGAGTAGCCAAAATAAATTTCACAGGATCATGGACTTTTTGTGTAGGAGATCCCAGGACCTTACTCTTATGTAAGCACGCTTAACAAGCATAGTTACTTGTTTTCCCCCAATGCATTGCCAGTTAGAAGCAGAAAACTGGAAAGAGGGAGAGTTGCTACTAGAGAGGGATTTCATGGTAACAGCAAGGAAAAAGCTTTAAAAAAAGCATAACCACTGGGCATTGGGACATTATAGAACAATGTCTGTCTAAGATGGTGAATGACTGGGTGTTTAATGATACAAATCTTCAGTATCTTCAAAATCAGCTAGAATTTAACTTTGTTAATGTTTTCGATTTTTTTTCGTTTGCATTTGTAAATTGGTCAATGTAATAAAAATAGGGACTCAGTATGTGAGCGATTTGGGTACCTTTGGGAGAAAGGAAGCTAAATAAGCAAACCCATTAATGTTATAAATGCAGTTCTTTGAAAAATATCCACGAGCAAATATTACTATAACTTATCTTTTAAGTGTTTTAATTCAACATATTTAAGCATAGACATTTTAGAATTCTTTACCTCTTTTTTTAAAAAAATTGTTAACAATGACCTACCAAATTCAATTATTGGCACAATTTCAATTTTATTGTAACCTACTTCATGAAATTCTGAGGATTTGTGTTGGCTATGAGTTGGAAATGCTTTTTAATAACTTCATGCATGAATACTCAGACTTTTATATGTCTTGCTCTGATTTTATGATATAAGATTAGCTTTGTAGGAATTCCTCCCTACTCCCTTCCCTCCTTGAAAGAACTGCTACAGACCCTGAGACAGATCTTCCCTTACTACCAGATCTTCCCATACCACCACTGTTGACAATTTCCATCCCCAAGGCTCACCTCCTTCCATTGCCCACTGTGGCTAAAAGCAAGGTCTGTCTGCATGGGCACCAGCATGAGATGTGGTAAGAATGTATATGAAGAGTGAGAAGAGAAGAAATACTGCTTCAAAGGTGAAATGCCTTCTAATAATTTTGTATAGGAAGAAACCATTACTGAAAAGCGTATAGGGGTGAAGGAGACCCCCATAGTGAAAGGAAGCATTGATTGAAAGCAGTGGAGTAAGGTGCAAACATGCTAATCTCTGAGCCCATGGATGAAAAATAAGGTTGTGATTGAGGTCCTAGCCCAGAATGGAGTTTTCCCTAGGGTTTTGTCACAGCAACAACAGAAAAGCAAGGGAACCAAATGTCACTAGTTTTCTTACAAGGATGTGCCAATCTCTGTCTTGATAATTAGAGTAAGTCAGCACTTCTTACCCCCTGCCTGGCAAGAATCAATATTGGGGGTCTTCTAGAAATTGGGGGGAAATAAAAGTAATTCAGCCATGGTTTTATTCTGAGTCCTTGAGCAAATAGAGTCATATATATTAAGATGAGACTTAGTTCAGAAATGGGCATTCTTGGATTGGAGTTATGTGGGGTGCCCACTAGAAGTTATCTGATATCTCTTGCATAGATATTAGCTCATAAAAAGAACCAATCTTTTATCTTTCTCTTTCTTTTTTAATCAAGTGGAATTTCTTGATATTCTATAATGGCCCATGTCTGCCATTTCTCTGTTCCCAGTAAACTTGTTTGCCCCTACACTAAGGATAAAAAAGGCATGACTTTATTTCACACTTCTTGATCTCCTTTATAGAAAACCACTAAATATAGAACTTAAAATGTCTAGTTGTAATAAAGGAGATGAAGTTTTTTGTTGCCTGTTTTTGAATTTCGAAAGTAGTTTTTGTGGTGGTAGTGTTGTTTATGTAGGGGTGCATTCTGAAATAATACAGATAGATAGATAGATAGATACAAAGTGCCCTGTAGACAGTGTGAGTGTGGCTAAGTGCTGAAGGCATTCAGATTCTGGTGCAGATAATCAAGTGTTGACTGTATGTGTAATGGTAAATTAAGCAAAATAAAAGGGTGCCAGGTAAAGTCCTGAATGTGGGACATTTGCTATTTGACCATATGTTTTTGATGTATGGATTGTTATGTAATAATTTATTTGTTCTTACAGCCAGGTTGTCAAAGCAGTAGCAATGAACTGCTGTGTAAAATATTTTAAAATTATGTGCGTAAAGTCATTTTCTTCATTTTCTTTTGATGTGAACATTTCTGAATTTGCAGTGATAGCTATTTTCAGTGGAGAAAATATAAGAATCTTGTATCCATGGACGAGTAGAAGAAAGGCGCATTAGAATTTTTTAAGGCACTCTCTTTTCATTTTACGGGTGAACTTCTTGCAATTGAATAATGAATGTTTTTAACTCTTTTGTAGGCATCCTCTGGTATTACGATTCCAAAACCCCCAAAGCCTCCAGATAAGCCGCTGATGCCCTACATGAGGTACAGCAGAAAGGTAGGTGCTGAGGAGCAAGAAGGAGTGGGCACTGCTGTCTTTGCTTCCCATCAAATTTCTGATTGGCTTAGCCAGCTTTTCTGTGCAGTCAGAGGAAAGGATAAAGAATTGCAGTTGTTAAAAGAAATTAGTTCTGATTTTAAAGTTCCAGGGCTCAAATCCAACAAGAAGAACATGATCAAATACATTGTTGAAATCGTTAAGACCGTGTTATATAGTCTTTTGGAGAATACTTAATGACATTAGAAAAATCTTGAATGAAAAAAGGGATATAAGACTACTGTATGTATTAGTATCTTATTTTTATAAAAATAATAGCAACTACATGCTAATATGAAGGAAGAAAAAAGCCAAAAGACATAGTTATCTCTAAATAGTAAGCTATGATCATTTTTATTTTCTTTATACTACCTTGAATTTTCCCTCTTTTTTTGTTTGTGATGAATCTACATTACTCTTAATAGATACAGCCAATAATATCTTTATTAAAGACGAGCATTTAGCTATTTCCATCACTATTTAGATTTTTTTTTTATTTTTGGTCATAATTATATGTGTATTTGATGATACATTGCATTGTGCAGATTAACCACTTCTGGATTTTTGTGAACTCTTAGACACAGACTATGTTACTGCATTAGCTTCTCTTCAGTATCTGTAGTGATTGTTGATGTCTGAGATCTGCATTAAAGCAATCCGTCAGACTGTAGAGGAAATGAGATTGGCCTACTGTTGGTAATTGTTACAGCAGGTTAATGAGAACATGTAGACTTGATTCTATTCCCTCTGCTCTTATTTATATTTTTAAATGTTCATATTAAAAAGTATTTTTTTAAAAATATATTTTATTGATTTTTCACAGAGAGGAAGGGAGAGAGATAGAGAGTTAGAAACATCGATGAGAGAGAAACATCGATCAGCTGCCTCCTGCACATCTCCCACTGGGGATGTGCCCACAACCCAGGTACATGCCCTTGACCGGAATCGAACCTGGGACCTTTCAGTCCGCAGGCCGACGCTCTATCCACTGAGCCAAACCGGTTTCGGCTAAAAAAGTATTTTTAAAGGTCTGCATTTCTAGGCATCAATACTGACATTTCAACTGTTTCCTTTTTAAGGTCTGGGACCAAGTAAAGGCTTCCAACCCTGACCTAAAGTTGTGGGAGATTGGCAAGATTATTGGTGGCATGTGGCGAGATCTCACTGATGAAGAAAAACAAGAATATTTAAACGAATACGAAGCAGAAAAGGTAGAGTTGGGACTGCAGTGGGATGGATACAGTGGGAAGGGCATGAACACTTGCTTATTATTTAGAAAAGAAGCATAAGATCTAGTTGGACAGCTGAGGCTGCACTGCGGCTTTGTCTGCCTTGATCAAGTCACCTTAATTTCTTAGGCTTCAGATTTCGTATCTGTAAAAAGGAGATAACTATGGTGTCTTTGGATATTCCTGTGAGATAATATAGGTGTTCATTATAACCTGCAAAATGTTCATTATAAAACTGAAAAACATTTGCATTTCAGATAGAGTACAATGAGTCTATGAAGGCCTACCATAACTCCCCTGCATACCTTGCTTACATAAATGCAAAAAGTCGCGCCGAAGCCGCTCTAGAGGAAGAAAGTCGACAAAGGCAGTCTCGCATGGAGAAAGGAGAACCTTACATGAGCATCCAGCCTGCTGAAGATCCGGATGGTAAAAATAATAATAAAAACAAAGTGGGGTTTTGTTTATGCTTTCTCTGAGAATTAAAATAAGACAAATCTTTTAAGTTTTTACTTCCCATCCTAAATGGAAAACAAAGCATAATTTAAGTACCATTTCGTTATTTTTATTAACTGTTTTTTGTAAGATTTGTATGTGAATTTCCCACAAGAAAAGGAAATACCCTTTTTAGTGCAGAAAATAGCAAAAACTGTCATTTATCCAAATCTTTGTACTCAAAATGCCCGAAAGGTTTTTGAGCCATAATCAGAATTTTGCCTCAACTACTTTTAAAAAGAAAATGCCTTCTGGTTACATCCTGTTTTCTTATTGGTTCCCCAAGTCCTGAATTAAGGACTCCCAAGAGAGAAAGTTAATGAGTGGGGAAAAAAGCACTATGAAATTTCTTTTCCAGTTAAGTGAGAAATCCAACTAGAATTTATAAATGTAGCTCATGATAACACACACACACACACACACTCACCAGCTTCCTCGTTGCCATTTCATGAATAGTTTGCAGGTCTACAGATTGCGCCCCTGGCCGTGTGCAGCCAGGCAGAGTCTGCAGCTGTAAGGAGCCCCAGAGCTAGCCACCTCTAGCTGTGGGCATATTCGTCCACATAGCAGGCATCTTGTACAAATAATATTTTCTCTGTGTGCTGCTGTGATATGGAAATGGTTGGAATTTCTAACTACAAGCAACAGAAAACATCATAATAATTTAAGACCCCATTTTAAAGTAGTGGTAACAATGCTTGTAAGAACTTTAAAGAAGATACACCATTGAGAGAGGAAGCAATAATACCACCTAAAGACAAATAAACTGATAAACTTAAAAGAAAAGCAAAAATGCTATTTTAAAAGAATAGATTGGGATATTGGCAGATATTCTCATAAATACAGAATAGGATATAAGTATAATGAATAGCATATGGAATAGAAACTATCAAGTGTTAAACAGAATGAGGAGTGCTAAAGCTCTACTAGCTTACATGGACCTTAATTGCTCAGAGTGAATGGTTAATGCAAAAAAAGCATGCAGACCTAAAAAAGGTAGGAGAATATCCAGTCTACAAATAATCAGAAGGATGGGGCTCAGTATAAGAGGAAATAAAGGCTAGCAATGTAGAAGCCATAAATAGAAAATGGTTTTCACTAGGCGAAAGGTAACAGCATGAATATTGAGACAGACTGAAGGGATCACTCAGGAACAGTCTTTAAGAAAGGTTCCTTTTCTCTGCTTCTCAAACTTCTGCCCATTATGTTTTTTAAGTTTAAGATAGGGTCTTAAAGCTGCTCGTAAGAAAGGACAGGTACTACCAAGAGAGTGAAACACTGGCAGAATTTTAGTTTTGCTGTCACATGCAGACTTCACATTGATTTCCAGGCTAAAGACACGTGCTTATATCTCACTTGTGTTTCAGCCAAATCTTTCTCTGACATGTATCGTCTCTTAAAGATTTTGTGAGAAAAACCAATACCTTCGCCAATGAGCACAGCATGTCCTTTATGGTTTTTATCAAGTGACTGCCCCAGGGTTCCCATGGTGGCCTTTAGACCCACTTGTGAGAGCCATGCTCCTTGGTAATTAAGTGTGTACATTGTTACACTCCCCTGTTTATGGTTACTGGTGACCTAATTTTCGGAACATCTCATTCCAGATTATGATGATGGCTTTTCAATGAAGCATACAGCCACCGCCCGTTTCCAGAGGAACCACCGCCTCATCAGTGAAATCCTTAGTGAAAGTGTGGTGCCAGACGTTCGGTCGGTTGTCACAACAGCTAGAATGCAGGTCCTCAAACGACAGGTCCAATCCTTAATGGTTCATCAGGTAGAGTCACAAAACATTTGTTATAATAAAATGGGCTTATGCCACAGATCCCAGGTGACCTGGTTCTATACAATGCATCAGTGCGCCTGTGAAATATGTCTGTGTTCAATCTAACCCAGTGGTTCTCAACCTTCTGGCCCTTTAAATACAGTTCCTCATGTTGTGACCCAACCATAAAATTATTTTTGTTGCTACTTCATAACTGTAATGTTCCTACTGTTATGAATCGTCATGTAAATATCTGATATGCAGAGTGGTCATAGGCGACCCCTGGGAAAGGGTCATTCGACCGCCAAAGGGGTCGCTACCGACAGGTTGAGAACCGCTGATCTAACCTGTTCCTGACTCAGGAAAGAGGCTTGAGGGAGTGGTCCTTTCCCACAGATTTAATACATTCATCCTTAAAACTGTAACATAGAGTCCTGTAATGGAAAGTTTATCCATTGAGAATTTTGAGACATCCTACCAACCTTTTACTGCTTTACTCAATATTCTGAAATTGCTCAGGCCTGAAACAATATTTAACATCACATACTTATTAGTCATAGTGATTCCTCTATGCTACATTTTACTTTTATTTTAAAACCTTAGCTTAAAATAAGTTGCTACATTTAGCTTAAAATCATTTATTACAGTTGTGTAATAAATGATTTAAGAATTCAGGCCCTAGATAGTTTGGCTCAATGGATATAGAGCGTCGGCCTGTGGACTGAAGGATCTCGGGTTCGATTCTGGTCAAGGGCACATGCCCGGGTTGCAGGCTTGTGGGGGGCATACAGGAGGCAGCCAGTCAATGATTCTCTCTCATCATTGATGTTTCTATCTCGTATCTCTCTCTCCCTCTCCCTTCCTCTCTGAAATCAATAAAAATATATATTTTTAAAAAAAAACAATTCAGGACATTTGTTACATTGTAAGAAAATGTGGACTATTGAAAAAATGAGACATGTTTTCTATTTGACATTTGCTTTAAAGAAAGTAATGCAGTAATTATAAAACAATTATAAAGCGTGATCATATGTCTTACAGCGAAAACTAGAAGCTGAACTTCTTCAAATAGAGGAGCGACACCAGGAAAAGAAGAGGAAATTCCTGGAAAGCACAGATTCATTTAACAATGAACTTAAAAGGGTATCAATTTAATATGTTAACTATACTTTTATCACTGTGTCTTCTTATCACTTTCATTTCTCATTCTTTTTTCCAAAATAGTGTTTTTGTTGAATATTGTTTACTTTGAAACAAGGGTAACTTCACTATAACCAGTAGATCTTTGCTTTATGAAATTATTCCCATTTTTTGGCAAAATTGTAATAGGTTTGAAATATATAGTATGCATACATATACTAGGCCTATCGACTCTAGAATCCTCTGATGTTTTAATTTAAACTCTCACCCAAGCATGAATTATTTTCATTTTTTTGAAATTTATTTGTCAAATGTCCTTATTAGATGTAGTTCACAGTTTGCACTTTGTATTAAAACAGGTAAATCTAGTGTTTGGTAGCCTAAAATATAAAATGGAAACTTTATATATAATCCAGTACTTTCAGTATTGCCTCGCCAACTATTTTGTAATATTTGATGTTACATGGCGCTGCAACTTTCTTTTCCTATAGACACAAGAGTCTCAGAGAAGACCTAGAGCCATGTTTTTTTCTCCCATATACATATAGTTTATAGCCAATAAAACCCATTTTTGAAGTAATTTTTTCTGGTTGAGAGATTGTAAGAAAAGAACATTACTAAGAGATTTTTTTGTGTTGGTTTTTTTCTGACTAGTTGTGTGGTTTAAAAATAGAAGTGGATATGGAAAAAATTGCAGCTGAAATTGCCCAGGCAGAGGAACAGGCTCGCAAAAGGCAGGAGGAAAGGGAGAAGGAGGCAGCAGAGCAAGCTGAACGCAGTCAGAGCAGCATTGTTCCTGAGGAAGAACAAGCCACTAATAAGACCGAAGAAAAGAAAGAAGCAGAGAACATTCCAATGGAGACAGGTAAGCCCCCAGGGGACACCAGTGTCAGTGTTGGGTTTTACAGCTCTTTAATCTTTATTTCTCTTTCTCAGTACTTTTCAGAGGTCACTGTGTCCCTGCTACCTCTTTGGTTATTCTTTATATGACCTACCCATTTCTTTCCAGATCTTAATTTCTAAAAGTAGATTCATGTAACATGTTTGTATCAGTGCAGAACAGCAGTGGTATGTTATCTTTAGTCTTGCTCTTTGAGGTCTTGGTTATTTCCCCAGACTGAGTCAAGTTGTTTTCCACCTTGAGAATATAAAGTGTGATGGTTAAGGAGACTGCCCTGGAGTCAGATCAGGGTCTAACACTGCTTTACCACATGCTTGCACTATGCCTTTGGCTAGTTACTTAATCGCCGTTCCTTCATTTGTAAGTATTCTAGCACCTGCCTCAGTGAGTTCTAACGGATAAAATCATTCAGTATTGGGTTTGACATGGTATTGGCACTCAGTATTTGAACCTTTGTTGCTAAAATTATTTAAATAAGATGTGGTCATTGCTGTTAAGATAAATCATTATTGGTGCCCTAGGACAGGGACATATCCTGCCTGCCACCTGCTTTTAAACAAAGTTTTGTTGGAACACAGTTACACCCATTTGTTTACATACTGTCTGTAAGTACTTTGGGCCACAACATATAGTTGAATGGTTGCAACAAAGACTACCTATAGCCCACATAACCTAAAATATTTCCTACGTAGCCTTTACAGAAAAGTTTGTTGACCCCACCCTGGAAAATTCCTACTTCCAGGTGTACTCAGAATTTCTGACTGAAAGCATTCCTCAAGGCAAAAAAAAAAAAAAATGCCATGCAAAACTTATATAATACTGATTAAATTGGTTATTATTTGAAATTTTGAGATTACCTTACCTTCTGGTACAGTTTTATCCCTGACCAATGTACTGTGTAAACAAGACTAAGCAAAAGTATTATGGGAAACACAGCCAAAAGTCTCCGGGACCATCATAAGAAGTGGGAAGGGTAGTAATCATGCTTAGTATTCAACTGACGACTTCCGATTTGACATCTGGAAAACATTTAATGGAATATAAACATTGTTACCAGATATTTCTACAAAATATAATTCAGCAGATTAACATTTCAGATAGTCATATTTTTTTAAGTTTCATTATTTGAGCCTTCTTCTGTTTTGTGTGAACATGTTTTTTATCTTAACAAAATTTGAGCATGGGCATATTTTTGTGGTTAATGCAAGAGTTTGAGAGCTAGAGTGTGATATGGTTCTTTGCTCATTTTGCAACTAAATGAAACACTCTGTCCTTTGCCTCTGTTTTGTCATCTATGAATAGAACATGCCTGTAGGTCTTCACTCAGATTTTTATCCTTCTAGCCTAACGGAAAAAAACTGAAGAAAATCGAGCCTATTAGAGCAAAAACCTCATGCTCTTAATTTCTTACAGAAAACAGCCCAACATGACTATTTAATGAGATACCTAAAATACTGACCTTATATCATTTCCACACGCACTTTCTTACTCCTTAAATACAAAGCACTCCATGACAGCATTGTCCAGTAGAAATACATGTACGTCACTGTGTGACTACATTTTCACTAACAGTTTTTCAAAGTAAAGCAAAACAAGTGACATTAATTTTAAACGTATATTTAATTAACCCAGTATATCCTAGACAATATCTTTTCAACATGTAATTAACTTCTCTTTTCAATTACAGTTGACATTCAATATTATTTTATATTAGCTTCCAGTATATAGACATATAATTTATAAAATGTTTCCCCTGAGAAGTCTGGTACTCACCTGACACCATACACAGTTATTATTGACTGTATTCTGCATGCTATACTTTACATCCTGTGCACATGTAATCATTTTTTTTGAAGTATTGAAGTATTCATTTCTTACATTCTTTTTTCATAAAGTCTTTGGAATCTGATGTGTATTTTGTACTTACAGCACATCTAAATTTGAAGCTCAATTTTTAAATACTAGTACTTCTTGACCTGTATTTAGATTTCATAAATTTACAGTTAAAAAGTAGATTCTTAAACCCCAAATTATCTCAAACATGCTGAAATTTTCTCAGTCACACTAGCTCATTTTAGGTGCTTAATAGCCACATGTTGGACAGTGGAGCTCTCGGATGTCAGCCTAATTAGAAGAGTAAATTTTTGTCTTAGAACTAACAATGACAAATGTGTGCTTACAGAGGAGACACGCCTTGAAGAAACAACAGAAAGTCAGCAGAATGGTGAAGAAGGCACATCTACTCCTGAGGACAAGGAGAGTGGACAGGAGGGGGTGGACAGTATGGCCGAGGAAGGGACCAGTGACAGTAACACTGGCTCAGAGAGCAACAGCGCCACAGTGGAGGAGCCACCAACAGATCCCATACCAGAAGATGAGAAAAAAGAATAAATGTTGCCTTGTTTTATGTATTCTAAATCCTTTTTTAAATGAAAAAAAAAAATGTTTTTGAGTTTTAATGGTGTTATGTGGTTTGTGTACTAATATTTTTCTTGTCCATATCACGCCACCCAAAGCTTTTGGACCATATAACATCATGAGCCAAATGGCATAGTCACCTTTCTTAAGTGGTTGTGATGATGGTTCTCTTCCTTAGATCTTGTTTCTACCCTTCACTGCTGAAAGCCTCAGAATTTAAATTAATTGAGAAAATGCCCATTTTTGGAGAATTTTCCTTTGATGCTGCAGAATCTACTCTTACAAATGCCTTCCTACAGCTCACTGGGGTGCTTACCAAAGCCATAGCTTTAAATCTTCTCAGTCCCCATCAACAGCTTCCTGAAAGTTCCCTTTCCTGTGTACTTCCACAAAGGTAGCTTCTTGAAAACGTAATCATGTATGAGTATATGTTTGTTCACTTGCCCTTTTCATTTGTAATCAATGTCAGATAACCAAGAGTTGTGTTAAAGTGTTGAGTGTACCTGCAACTATGCTTGGATCGTATTGATCGAGAAATAGTCTCCATAGAGTAGTCACCAGCTTATGAAATAGTCATTAAAGCAAACATGGCACATGTATACTGTCCTGCTTTTTGTTATAATTAATATTGGGTACGTTCTGGTCAATTCATCCTTATTGTACAAAAAAAATTACTTTTTTATCAAGTTTTCCAAAGACAGAGTAGATCACAAAGCTTAAGGAATTGAATATACTTGCAAGGGAGTATATAACTTCAAAATGATTGGCCCGTTCTAGAAGAAAACAGCTAGGAATTAAGTTCAACCACTTGAAATTGTTTTTACAATAATCAAAACATTCAAAACCTCAAGGCTCAGGATCCCATAGATCAGAGCCTACCTTTTTGGATAAACTTAGTTAAGTTTTAGCGAGTAGAAACGAGATGGTTTGTGACACATATGCTTCCTAAAAACTAGAATAGATTTTTACTAAATAGTGGTATATCTGATGGTATATGTTTCTTAAAGGTCCAAATGTAATAAATAAAAGGAAAAAGAAAACAGTCTCAGTGTTTTTAATGCATTAAATGTTTATATGCTAAGCAAGCAAATAATTTTGTTACTGGAACACACTGACAGTATGGAGTGGTCACTCGGCCATTATAAAAGTGCATACTCACAGTCCTGTCTCTCCCAACTGCTGCACTAGCAGGTTCATTTGTACAAGACACTGAAAATTAGTTGCCGTACATTATAGTCATGTCACATAGGGAGGTTGGGCTTTTGCTCCAAAAGTAAATGTTTCTACATTTACATATGAGCAATAAGAAAAAATTTATGACAAATTAGTTCTCTCTGTGGAAAATGTGGCTCAATAAATAGATGTAAGCCGTCTGCTTACATAGAGATAACTTCTCTATAGAGGCAAGACTTCGTTTATAGTGAATTCACTGACCATGTAGGATTCCATTCGACGTTCAGCCTCCTGAGTAAGGAGGAAAGGAAACGAGCTGTTGGGTGGAAACAACCTGTCTTTCTAAACGGTACATGGAATCTTTCTCCTGTTTCTTTTAGAATCCAAGAACTAGTGTATTTGATAATCTCTGATAAATTGGGCTTTGTGGGGCTAAGAACTGAAGCCATCTCATTCCCTGCAGATTGGATGTCCTCTTTGGTTCACTCCCTAATAGACCAGGCAGAGAAGTTAAATATGGATGGAGCCCAGCTGGCGTGGCTCAGTGGTTGAGCATCGACCTAGGACAGCAGTTCTCAACCTGTGGGTCGTGACCCCTTTGGCAGTCGAATGACCCTTTCACAGGGGTCGCCTAAGACCATCCTGTGCATCAGATATTTACAATTCATAACAGTAGCAACATTACAGTTATGAAGTAGCAATGAAAATAATTTTATGGTTGGGTCACAACATGAGGAACTATATTTAAAGGGCCAGAAGGTTGAGAACCACTGACCTAGTTGTTTTGTTTTGTGGCTTTGGTCACTGAAGACTCAGAGAGCAGGGTTACTTCTCACCAATCTCAGTGTTACTGTGGCTGCTCTAAGTGGGAGGCTGTCTCATTCTATAGCAGTACATTCACCCATTTTCCATCTTGTTCTGAGGTCTTATTACATCCCCTCTGTTTTACCCCCAGGAAATGGAAAGCAATTGCTATCTACCCATGGGGAAAAAAATAGCTTGTTTTCAATCTGCCCACAGCTCTTCCACCCCTAAAATCTCCTTTACTCCCTGCAATTCAGAATCAGATACATTCCCTGAAGTGGATTTACATCTAATATGTGGATTTCTCTCTGTTTCTAACATCCATATAAATAGCCTATATAATAAAAGCCTAATATGCAAATTGATTGAACGGCGGACCGACCGGCCATTATGATGTACACTGACCACCAGGGGTCAGACGCTCAATGCAGGAGCTGCCCCCTGGTGGTCAGTGCACTCCCAAATGGGGAGCACTGCTCAGCCAGAAGCCAGGCTCATGGCTGGCGAGCGCAGTGGCAGTAGCAGGAGCCTCTCCTGTCTTCGCAGCAGCACTAAGGATGTCTGACTGCCAGCTTAGGCCCACTCTCCATGGGGAGCGGGCTAAGCCATCAGTCGGACATCCCCCAAGGGCTCCCAGACTGCGAGAGGGCACAGGCTGGGCTGAGGGACCCGCCCCCCCCCAGGTGCACGAATTTTGTGCACTGGACCTCTAGTCTATATATATATATAAAACCCTAATATGCAAATAGACCGAACAGCAGAACAATCGAACAACCAGTCGCTATGACGTGCTCTGACCACCAGGGGGCACACGCAGACAATGGCAGGCGTAGGCAGCAGGTGACAGAGCGCGGAACATGGCAGGTGTTGGCCGCAGTGGGATGGTGGAGCAGGTGAGCGGGGGCGCCAGACCAAGGTGGGGTGCCAGTTGCTGTCATCGGGCCGAACCTCTGGTGGTTACTGAAAATTCTTTGCTCCCACGCGCCATGGTCCTGCCTGGCGCTCACTCCCGCTGCCGGTGCCCAGCACCGGTCCCGATCACTTGGTGCTATCAGCAGGTGCGAGCTGCAGCTGCCGGCCCTGATCACCCCTGAGGGCTTCTCCACCTCCCCCTGCTCCTAAGGGGCGGTTGGGGCAGCTGGCGCCAGGCCCAATTGCTCTGCGCTGTCAGTGGGTGTGAGCGGCAGTGGCAGCAGCGGGGCTGCCAGCAGACGGGACTGGGGCTGCAGTGGGAAGGGCCAGGCTGGGGCACAGAGGATGGGCTGAGACCAGCCCCTGTGCCCACTGCAGCCTCACGGCCCACAGTTCCTTTCAAAGTGCACGAATTCATGCACTGGGCCCCTAGTATTTAAATAATATGGATGGAAAACAGTGCCAGAGCAAGATGTCAGGTTATCTATGGTATTGAAGTCTACGTGGGTGGAACTGGCTCCTTTGCTAAGCTGGAGCTGGCACTCAAAACAAGCATATCTGCCTTTAATAATGCTGTGGCAGTGGCTGAAGGACAAATTTAAATCAGATGGGGATTTGACAGCTCGTAACAGGCGCTGGAGGGTGGTGATTAAAATTCCCTCTTGTCAGAGCAATGTATGTAGACACTACCTGTGTTTTAGTTGTTTCCTAGTTTCTTTGAGAATGTGGGATATAGTCAAGATCTTTAGTTTCTCCCTTCCCCCATAGGCATTGGGCAAGCCACTTAAACTCTGAGCCTGTTTCAACTATAAAATGGATTGAACTACTTTCTGTCTCAGTCCCTTTACTGCTTCAAATAGCCATGATTTTTAGTGGATTTATTTTTAATATGAACACATAACATTTGAGGGCTTAAATTTATATTAATTTTTTAAAGATATGGCTTTTTAAGAAAGGTTTTATTGATTTTTTTTAGAGAGAGGAAGGGGGGAGAGAGAGAGAAACATTAATCCGTTGCCTGGCACACACCCTGACAGGGATCAAACCAAAACCTGGGCATGCACCCTGAGCAGAAATCAAACCCACTGCCTATTGGCCCAACCAACTGAGCCACCCTTGCCAGGGTTAAATTAGTTTTTAACAAATAGGAGAGAGGGGAACCCCCCACCGTCCCCCAGTTTTCTTACAGGAGTTTCAATTTCATATTTTTCTCCATCTCAACAAGCATGTCTAAGTGGCTCTCCTGCAACACACGAAAATGTACCCTGTCAAGCAGAGCTTTCGGGAAAAGTTGCTAGGAGCTACCTCATTTTTACAGGATACTGGGAACGTCCTATGAAAAAGACACAGTGCTTGATTCACCATATTTGAAAAGAGAATCTGAAGTTTAACTGATGCCCTCCAGATGGTTAGTTTTGGCCCTTCACGTTTAGGTACTAGTTTGGGGTTTTAGACCGTTGGTGCTGACAGCGTGAAACTCCTGTTGCCTGCAGTTAAATAAGCTTTGGTTTCTCGTGTGAACAGGCCGTGAAGCTGGGATTATACTTTGTTAAGTCCTCATTTCAGAAATAGTTCCCCTCCACCCCCAAGCACTACCGCACACACGGGCTCCCCACCTGGTTTCAGGAGTGGTTTTCACCGCTGGGCAAACCTGGCTGGAACAACAACTGACTTCCCAATGATTTGCACATTAAAGGGCTTAACTTCTTTACAAATGAAAAACCCACTGTGTAATAAGCTAAAATAAACTTGGAGCCTTCTTAGAAGAAATCGTGCTGAATTCTAATTTGGCTGATGGTAATCATGTTTCTTTGATCAGCATGGTAACAAAAACTCAAGAGTTTAGTAGAAAACAATGCTAAATGTATTAGCAATGATAAAACGTAATGTCTTAATATTAGGTTGGACCCTATGATATTGCCAATGTAGGTTTTTATCTACAAAATGATAGTTCCACCTGCTTCAACCTAATTCTGCATTTTTTAGTCCAAATTATGAACGCTTAGCAGCTTTTTGAGTGTGAAAACTTTCTGAGTTTTGATTTGTCAGACTGGCCTACATACTTCTCTAATAATTACTGCATATTGTTCAACAAAACCCTGATTAAAATGCAAATCCCAGACTATTAAGTAGTAAAATATTATAGGGTGTCCCCCCAAATGTATACACACTTTGAATGATTACAAAGTCGGTGTTTACTGACATACAGTTCATTTTCAAAATTTAAAAGAATCTACAGAAATAAATAATAATTTTTTGTCCATGCCTGTTTTCAAACTGATTACTGTTCTAGTCCGGGCACTGCTGATAACGCAAAGCAAGGAAATCGCAAACATTAAGAATCATCTCGTTAGGTATTTGTGTGCCCTCAACTCATTGACTGTTGCCAGTTTTGTACTGTAAACTTTATCTACTATGTGTTCCCATAAAAAAGCTTAGGATAAATTATCTTTGTTCCAAGCTTAGTCTGGCTTCACCCAATATTTCAAATCAGTTAAACCTGAAAAGGGGTGAAAATTAAGTGAATTATAAGCTGTTAAAGTGTGTAGACAGCTAACTAACTGGCTTATGTTCACATCTTTTCTCATTTTGCACCAAAAAAAAAAACTTCTTTCAATTCTTTTGCATGTGTTCAGGAGTAAAAAGTGTTATGTGGGGAGGGGAAATTCCCGATTGCTATAATTGCTCTTTACATATAAACTGAGACAATAACTGCAGATAAAGGGCCCCTACAAGAGCCATTTGAAAGGCAGGGAAAGCCACCTCAGACTCCTTGACATTC